CAGGGGACATCTAGGTCAATTGGCATAACAAAGCTTATTAAGAAAATGTTCTGCATCCTACTTTGGTGAGTGGCATCTGGGGTCTTAAAAGCTTGCAAGCAGCCATCTAAGATGCATCAATTGGTCCCAACCCACCTGGAGTAAAGGAGAATGAAGAACACCAAAGACACAAGGTGAGTATTAGCCCAAGAGACAAAAAGAGCTACACAAACCAGACTTCATCAATCTGAGTCCAGAAGAACTAGATGGTGCCCGGCTACCACCAATGACCACCATGACAGGGAACACAACAGAGAGTCCCGGACGGAGCAGGAGAAAGGTGGGTTGCAGAACTCAAATTCTAGTGAGAAGACCGAACTTAATGGTCTGACTGAGACTGGAGGAACCCCAGAAAGCTTGGCCCCCGGATTCTCTATCAGCCCTGAACTAAAACAATTCCTGAGGCCAACTCTTCAGACAGGGATTGGACTGGACTGTGGGACATAAAGTGATACTTGTGAGGGTTGTGCCTCTTAGCTCAAGTAGATACAAGAGACTAAACGGGCAGCTTCTGTCTGGAGGTGAGATGGGAAGGCAGAGAGGGTTAGGAGCTGGCTGAATGGACATGGGGAACCAGGGGTGGAAAGGTGGAGTGTGCTGTCACTGTACAGGGAGAGCAATTAGGGTCACACAACAGTGTATGTATAAATTTTTGTATGGGAATAAATAAAAAAAGAGATTTATAAATTCTAAAGCATTGGTGAATGTCAGGGGCCACTGTTACTGATCCTGGTAAGAGTAGCATCACACTCCACCAGCACCCCCGTTGGTGGTCTCCCCAGGTAGGTCTGCCTGAGTCCCACTTGCCCAGCTAGCTTATCATGGCCTACTGTCGTTGATGCTGTCTGTCTGTATCCAGGATGTATCCTTATCTACTCTCATTCCCCCGTACCCACATAGTGCCCAGCACAGGAGCTCAGGAAATGCTGGCTGAATTGCAGTGACTTGGCCACAGAACCACAGCAATGGGGGCCCTAATTGGGCAGGCAAGCCTGGGGATAGGAGGCAAGGGACAGGAGTAACCAAAGCAGGGGCAGCCTTCGGAAGTGGTGTTGGGGTTGAAAAGGTTTCCGTAACTACCTTCTCTTGTGACAAAATGTCTGTTCATTGTTAATGTCATGGAGCGCCAGCCCTCCTTTCCCTGCCCAGAACACAGGAAGGTGCCCAACGGCTATCTGGGCAATTCATGGATGGAACAACTTTTCCATAAACTTGACCAGGGATGGATTCTCTCTAACTTTTTCCTAGGGCCCTGCAGCTCACAGTGCTTGTATGCATACTAACCGAAAGGTTGATGGTTCGAACCCACCTGAGGTGCCTCAGAAGAAAGACCTAGCAAGATGCTTCCAAGAGATCAGCCATGAAAATCATATGGAGTATAGTTCTACTCTGACACACATGGGGAAGCCGTGAGTCAGAGATGACTGGATGGTTTGATACCTCCAGGAGGTGCGCTTATTTCCACATTAGTAAGAAGACTGGGGATCCAAAAGTCTTGGGGTAGGAAAGGGTACACCCAGGATCTGAACTTAGCCCTTGTGAGTCAGCCTGGGCTCCTTCCAGACCTCCACTGGCATCCGGAGGTCAACGGCACCTTTGGTCTTTTCAGTAAAAGGTAACACTCCACTCTTAACATGGACAGTCAACGTCTTCCTTTAAAACCACCATCCATTGTGATCCCTCCAGCGCAATTTGTTTCTAGTTAGAAACGTCCCATTATTCCAGCTGTGATGAATGCCTCTGGCCTGAAATAGCTCAACTTGTGATCACAAGCCATGCTGTTCTTCAAAGAAACGAGATTCCCCTGCTCCCATTTTAAATGCCCCGTTGGGTGAACACTTGGACCCAGCATTTAATGGGCCCTGCCAGATCAATGAGTGGAAGTGATGTTTGCCCCATGAGCCCCCTTTGGGTCTCCCTTGGCCAAGCCTCCCATTATGCTGGAGAAGCCACGCCACGGTAGGATGCTGGGGGCCACAGGCAGCACCTCTGTTCCAGCACCCTCCCGTGGGCGTGCTTCGGGCTGTATCTGGTTTCCTGCCCAATGCACACAAAGCAGGGGAATGCTTCCAGCAAGACGCAAGTGGCGGGGCTGGTACAGCCTGGTGGGAGAATCATGGAATAAAGCCTATGGGGGTCACTGGCAGGTGCAGAGTTTGGAAAAAATATGACACTGCCTGTTTAGACTGGGATCACCTCGTAGAACAGGGGCCCACGACAAGAGCTGAGCTCCTGACTCCAGCGTCCCCTGTGCAGCCGGAGCGAGATTGGAATGCACATGCTGTACTCACCTTAGACCAGTCCCCCGTCTTCCACTCGTAGCAGCCGGAGTAGTCCTCACACGCCTCCTCGGACTTTGGCCTCCTGGCTGCGTCGCATTTTCCTTGTGAGTTGGTGCATGTCACAGTTCGTTTTTGCATCCCTTTACCACAGTTGGCAGAACACTGCAAGACACCACTCAGATATTTAGTTCAATCCAATTCAGCGCCAGTCCATCAACACCTATCAAGTCCCTGCTATATGCCAGGTCCAGTGCTGGGATGCAAAGGTGAGGATGACACGGTTTCCATCCTCAAAAAGCCCCAGGTCTTTCTTCTAGAGGCTTATCCACATAGTCCCAGCTGGGACTTCTGCCAATGGCCAGTGGTGGAGGGTTTGGGTCAGGAGGACGGGGCACAGGAGTCAGGAAGGGGAAGAACTCAGGCCATCTGGGAGGTCCAACAGGGGCTCGTTTCCAGGTCCAAAAGACCAGTGCAGTGGACCAGGTCAAAGGGCAAATGTGGGGTAGACACTAGGGTGGAGCAAGGGGAGGAAACTGAAGCCAAGGGGCCTGAGGCCCTGGCTCATCAGGGACACGTTTCTGCTTGGGCCAACCCAAGGCAAAGGCACAGAGTCAGCGGGGAGAGGACAGGATGGGGAGCAAAGCCACAAGCAGTGGGTAAACCCTGGGAGAGAGCTACAATGAATGTTTTCATGTGGATGCCAAGACCAGTATCAGAGTAACGGTCCCTCCGGTGGGTGTTTTATTAACTTGCTGGAAGATGTGGGAAGCAGCAGCGTGGGGAGGAGACCAGAGCAGGGGCTGAAGTTGACAAGTGATGTGCAGGCCTTCAAGAGCTCAGGATGCCCACGCCATCCAGCAGCAAGATCCTGGGAAGGAATGATGATGGAGCAGGAAGTGACGCATGTAAACACAGAGGATGCTCTGGGATGCGTTGGGAACCTGCTCCCAGCGTGCTCCACCGGGATGGCTGGAGAGGGCTGGCTCACCACAACAAAGAAGGGAGCCCGCCTAGTGTTGGTGGGTTGGCAAGCAAACAGAAGGACATGGTCTGGCAAGCCTGGGGAGCTGCCCTCTGACCTGCTGTGTGTTGGTCAGTGTGTGACCCCAGTGGAAGCCCCGTCCCCACAATGGAGACAAACACAGAACTTGTGGGGATGGTGGCTGAAGACTGGATTCCAGGCATCGAGGAAGCCAGAGCTACCCAGGAGATTCTCAGTGAGATTTCCTACAACAGTTGGGTGCGAGAGCTCTTGGGGAGAGTGTCCACAAGCTCTAATGGCACACAGTGGAGCCCCAATATCTCTACTTTCAGTTTTCATACTTGCTCAGTTTATCAGAAATATGGGAGGCTGAAGGAGCCCTTGTGGCACAGTGGTTAAGCACAGCTGCTAACCAAAAGGTTGGCGGTTCGAACCCACCAGCATGTGGCAGTCTGCTTCCATAAAGATATACAGCCTTGAAAACTCTATGAGGCAGTTCTACTGGGTCCTATAGGTCGCTATGAGTTGGAATCACCTCGATATCAAGGGGTTTGGTTTGGGTTTCATAGCAGTGATTTTTGTGACTTTTAAAATTTGCACTGTTTTCTGAAAAAAAAAAAAAAAAAGTACATAAAATGACAAACAAATATTATTCTTAATGAGATATTTTTGCTATCAATATTTATCCCAAGATGTCATCTAGATTTATTTTTCCTATGAATTCAATTTAGCTCTCCATCTGAAAGTCCCATTGGGTTTTCTTTTTAGACTAATTTCAAATGGGTTGCTTTGGAAGAATTATACATGCTCCAGAAACTGGTTACGAGACATCCTGCGGGGAGCTGGGAGAGCAAATGCATTTGAGCCTGGATGCAGGGTGAGGGCTGGTTTAAAGGGGCCTTGGAGTATGAGCAGGGTCCCTGGTGGTGCAAATGGTTAACTGGATCAGCTGCTAACTGAAAGGTGGGCAGTTTAGTCTACCCAGAGGCACCTTGGAATTAAGGCCTGGTGATCTACCCTATGGACAACAGTTCCACTCTGATACATGTGAGGTCGCCATGAGTCGGAACTGACTTGACGGCAACTGGTTTGGAGTGTGAAGGATCCGTCCCTGGAAACTTTGCACACAGGGTATGATGGGGTGGGACAAGGAGGGCTGTTGTGGGGAACCCTGGGCTCCTGCATGGAAAGGCTGCCCTTGCTCAAGCTGCCAGCTCTGCTCCTCTTCCTAGGAATCGTTCCTGGCCATTTCAGCAACTCAGTCCTTTCACTGGGCTCTAGGCTCCTCCTTGGCCCCGGGACCCACATGGCTGGTTCCTCCCAGAACTAAGAGCTCCTTACCATTTCTGCTTACCTGGGTTTCTGCTTTGTCTTATCTACTCACCTCTCCTTGCCCCTTCCCGTTGAATTTCTGACAGTGAATTTCCAGCCTATTTCTTGACCAAACCCTGGTTCACCCTTTGGACCAGTAGTCCCTTTGCTGGAGCCCCTTGGCCTTAGAGAAGGGCAGTGCCTCAGGATGGCACTGCCTCTGAGGAGACCTGGCACAGGCGGGTGGTGGCCAGTTTCTCTTTGCTTCTAATGCAAGGACAGGGACTGGCAGCCGAGGACAGGAGGGGGTCACTACCTTTGGCTTCTCTCTGGATGTTTGTTCCGCATTCTAACTAGATCGGGAGGAAACTGGGGTGGAGGTGGTGAGAGCGATCAACAATGCTGGCTGAGTAAGAGCAACCACATCACTAAAACTCTCCCTCAAGGAAAATGAAGCCCATTCGTTCCCAGAAAAAGAAAGGCTAGGGGGCTTCCACACACAGGAAGCTGCAGAAACACCAGCTTTGTGAGCATCTCATGGGAAAGGATTTGATTCCAAGTTGAGAAAGAAGCATTTTGTTCAAACCTGGGTTGAACCAGAATTAGACTGACTGATGTAGATACTAGTCCAGGATTAAGCATGTACATTATCTATGTGTATATTTAAAAAAAACAAAACAAAACCCTGTTGTCAGGTTGATTCCAATTCACGGCTACCCCATGTGTATCAGAGTGGAACTGTGTTTCATAGTGTTTTCAATGGCTGATTTTCTGGAAGTGGGCTGCCAGACCTTTTTCTGAGGCACCTCTGGGTAGACTCAAACCTCCATTCTTTTGGTTAGCAGCTGAGTGCACTGACCATTTGCACCACTGAAACCAAAAGCCAGTTGCTGTTGAATTGATTCCAACTCAGGGTGACCCCATATGTATCAGAGTAGAACTGTGCTCCACAGGGTTGTCAATGGTTGACGTCTTTGGAAGTAGATCGCTGGCCTTCTTTCTGAGGTGCCTCTGGGTAGAACTGAACCCCCAACCTTTCGGTTAGTAGCCGAGTGCTTAACCCTTTGCACCACCACTCAGGGACTCCTACATAGATACAGATATGTCTTTAAGTCTTGCCCCAGTTGTCTCGCGTTTTCCAAATATGGTGTTCTTTAATGCTGTAACAACTGATCATTTCAGGCTTGGCTATTTTGGTAAGAAGGCATTTTTTCCCCAGTAAGAGAGTTTGAGTGAAAATTTACAGTTTTGATAAGACTAAGGCACAAATCTTATTTGGATCAAGAGTCAGTTGATTAAGGGCCTTAAGGCTCACCTGGTAGGGAGGGAGGGGACTGTCTACCTACTCCCTCCCCCTCCAGCAAGTAGCCAAAAAAAAAAAAAAAAAATTCCCTTGCGTATTAAACTTGCAAACCTAAGTGCGTATGAAGAAAAAAATTAAAAAACATACGTTTTAAATTCTTTCATTTTCTTAATGGATCATAAAGGGTAGGTTAAAGACTCAAGCCTTTCAACAGATATGTGTCAAGATCTGTCTGAACACCAAACTCCATTTCAGAGCGGCCAAGGGTGGCCTTCTCGTTCATTACAAATGGGTTGATTACTTTATTATTCAAAAGAACTCCAACTGTTTGGCAATAAAAAGAAACTTCAGAAACATTTTCCGTACTGGAGAGAGTGTCTTGGACACAGCCTTTTTGAGTTTTCTAAAACACTTGTGATGCAGGACCTGAGCAAAGCCTGTCCTTGATTCAGTGATTTTTTTGTTTGTTTGTTTGTTTTATATCCTAAAAATCAAAATCATTAATGTAAAGTGGGCCTGTAAGGATGATATCATCTAAGATAAAATATTTCCAGGATCAGTCTTCAAAATTAAAATGTAAGGCTTAATCAACCTCTTTCCAAAATGCTCCACAGCATGAGATTCGTAGCTCTGACTCGCACACTAAAGACTCTCTCTCCTAGCACTGGGCTCTTGCAATATTCAAAGACTGCCATGGAGTTAAAGGAGTCTTGAAATTACCTTCCCAAACAGATCACACGGCAGTGCAAATATGCCCAAAGGAAAATCAAAAGGTGTATCCATATATTTGTTGTTGTTAGGTGCCGTTGAGTCAGTTCCGACTCATAGCAACCCTACAGGACAGAGTAGAACTGCCCCATAGTGTTTCCAAGGAGCGACTGGTGGATTTGAACTGCTGACCTTTTGGTTAGCAGCCAAGCTTTTAACCACTGCGCCATCAGGGCTCTCTCTCTCTATAGATATACATAAAAATAAACAAAAGACAAACCTATTCCATCAAGTAGATTCCGACTCATGGTGACCCCATGTGTGCACAGAAGAACTGTGCTATATCAGGTTTTCAAGGCTAAGACCTTTTGAAAGCAGATGGCCACACCTTTCTTCCAAGCCGCCTCTTAGTGGGTTCAAACTGCCAACCTTTTGGTTAATATTTGAGAGCTTAACTGTTCACACCACCCAAGGATATAGACAGATATAGGTATATATCTACATGTGAATTTTCACAGGAAATGAGGTCAAATAGTACTTGTCACTGTGGGGAAGTGTGTTGTTATTTCAGATGGAACCTAAGAATACTGGAGCTAGAAAGTAACTTTGAGGTGATTTGGGGATGGCAAGGACTGTGATTCAAGGGACTGTGTTGGCAACTCACAAGCACCATGGGATGAAAGGTAATGCATTGAGGTTCCTGTGGACAGGGCCCAAGACCCTCTTGGTGGTCTCCCCACCAGCAGGAAGCCCAGGCACCCACCTGTGACCACTCTGATGCCTCCCAGATGGACAGGCAGTCCTGGCCTTCGCAGCTCTGCACCGGTGTCGGCTGGGGGCCTGGGCAGTAGAAGGGCCGTGTGGCGATGTGGGTGCCATTCTGCAGCTGGTACATGCAGGTCACCTCCCGGTGCTGGATGCCCTTCTCACAGGTCGCCGAGCAGGGGCTCCATGGCCCTGCTGCCCACCTGCCCAGAAGGAGGACAGACAGTGAGAGGACACCTGGGCGGAGAGGCCAGCTTCCTGAGGGCCTTCCAGGAGGTCATGGACAACAGCCTGTGTGGGAATGAGGAGGCACACTCAGGGACCTGTGCAATCTACTTTGGCAATAATTCCAGAGTCCTGAAGCAGAGGGCGTGACTGGAATGGTCACCTGACTCAGGGCAGAAACCCTTCTGCACACAACACCCCTACGATACAGACTGACTTACTGCTCCCATTGGCCACTCCCTCCTGCAGTGGTACTACAGAGCCTGCCTGTTGTCACATGGCCTGTCGTGTGTCCATCCCACCTTCCTTGACACTGTACTTGGTCACATGACATACTTTGCTCCATGGATGTGCGCACACATGCTTGTCACGTCCAAGCAGAAGCTCCACGTGTGACTCTGTGGTTCAGTCTTGATTCTCTGTTTCTGCCCTCTGCCATGAGAACTACAGGTCCCAATACAGGGGATGTGCCTATAGCCTGGGTACTGGAGCAAGATGACACATGGAGCTCAGTCAAGCTTAGGCAGCCCAAAGCCACCACAGCCTTCATGTACTATGAGGAAGAAATGTTTTTATTTTGTTGTAAATCATGGAGATATTGTGATTGTTTGTTACTACAGCAAAAGCTGACTAATACAGCCCCTGACACATGGTCCTCCCATTCCAGCTTGAACACACCAGGACGAGGTGTGCCTCACTTTCCAAAGAGGGCAGGTCCTGCTGGTGGTGACTGTGATGCTTGCCTGTGGCAATTTGGGGGTCCCAGGAAGACTCAGCTTTAAAGTGCTATTCTAAACTGTCTCCCTGCCTAGTACTTTAACAAACCCAATTCTGACAGGGTCTCTGTTGGCCTCAAGGTGTTGGAAAGAAGCTGAGCAGTTTGGGAGTCATGATTTCTCAGGACAGAAACGGGGCTCTGGGTGCCCTTTTGACAACACAAAAAGACTCTGTGCTTTGGGTTCTGGGTGAGCCAGCCCCCTCTGCCCTCTTTCTTGTCCTGATTCAAATATTCCTCGTTCCCAGGAGCCCACCACTTAGCAAAACAGCCCAACATGTGGATGGACAGCTCTGATAACCATCTGGTTCTTCCTTCTTAGTCAAAATATCTCTAAATTCTACCTGAAGCAGAAAGCTGATCATGCTATCCCACTGTTTAAAAACACCTAGAGGGTTTTCCCACGGACAGGGTCCTTCATGTGGGCATGGGATGGCCCCAACCTTCTCTTCATCTCAGTTCCAGCTTACTTGCTCATTTGTCTGTTCATTCACTCTATATTTTTTTAGGGTTCATCATGTGCCAGGCATTGTTCTAGGTTCTGATGATGAGGCAGTGAATGGAGTTAAGCCCCTGCCCTCTGGAGCTTACATTCTAACTGGGATAAACAGTAAGCCAATGAACAATATAACATATATCGTATCATATCAGGTTATAGGTAAATACAGAACATGCCACACGGTAATAAGTGCTTTAGAGAAAAGTAGAGCAGGGCAATGGGGCATTGGTGGTTCAGTGACAGAATTCTCACCTTCCACAAGGGAGACCTGGGTTTGATTCTCAGCCAATGCACCTCATGAGCAGCCACCACTCATTTGTCAGTGGAGGCTTGCATGTTGCTGTGATGCTGAACAGGTTCCACTGGTGCTTCTGGACTAAGATGGACTAGGAAGAAAGGCCTGGTGATCTACTTCCAAAAATCAGTCAATGAAAACCCTATGGATTGCAATGGTCCAATCCACAGCTGATTATGGGGATGGCGCAGTACTGAGCAGTGTTTCGTCCCGTTGCGCGTGGGGTTGCTATGAATTGGGGGCCAACTCGACAGCAGTTAATAACAATGACAGAGCAGGGCAAGGCAGAGCAGGGAGCAGTGAGTGGGTGAGCAGTAGGGAAGGCCTTACCGATAGGGGACACTGGAGCAGAGACAGGAACGAAGTGGGGAGTGAGCCACACAGAGATCTGGGGAGAGTTTCAGGCAGAGAGCACAGCAAGTGCAAAGGCCCCGGTGCAGGAGCCTGCTGGCAGGGCTGCGGAGCAGCAAGAAGGCCAGGGTGGCTGGGGTGAAGTGAGTGAGCAGGAGGGCTGGGGCCAGGGTGGCACCAGGGAGCCCATGGAGGAGGCAGTGCAATGGTTCAGTAGCCTGCAGTCAACAGTGTGGCCTTTGGTCCTGGTTCCTGAGAGCTGAGCCACACCTGAGGCCAGTGAGCAGGGGGCTGAGCAGATGGCTGAAGGCGGCACACAGGGCAGCTCGTGCGTACCCCTAGCTCCCAGCCAACCCTGTATTAGTTTAATAATAATCAATAATCCTTTACCAGTTTCCCATTGCTGATATAACAAACTACCACAAACACCAGAGATTCCTTATCTTGCAGTTCTGGGGGTCAGGAGCCTGGCACGGGTCTCACTGGCAGGGCTGCATTACCTAATTTCACCTGCCCCCACCACGGCAAAGATGCCGTGAAACCCACGTGAAACTGCTCACGACAGATTGGCAAGTAAATACACTTAAGTCCGTGCCTACCTTGCTCAACTGAAACCCGGTCCATACCGTGTTTACTGGTTAATCTGCCCCTTCCTCACTGGGCTAAAATCAAGGTGTCCCCCATTCCTTCCCCTCTACCTCTCAGCTCTGTGCTGGGTTCTGACATACATACAGACATGAATATGGTTGTCTGTCTGGGAGACAGACAGACAACCAGGAGACGTGTGTGAGGCTCCCTGTGGAGGCTTGTGGGGAGCACACAGAGGCTTCTTGCTCATCTCATCTTGTGGTCAGGGGAGCTGTCTGTGCCAAGTCTGCAAGCACGAGCAGGGCCTGGCCAGGAATTAGCAAGGCCCCTGTAGACTGTTTCACTCGGTAGCCATTTGTCATTCTAACACTTGCTAGATGAATAAAAAATTGGCAATGCGAGTGAACGGTTAGAAGCAGGGAGGAAAAGAGGTGGAAGGAAAAAAAGAAGGAAGTATCTCCCAAGTCCCAGGCAGGTAAGACCCAAGAGAGGAGACTGGCCTTCAGTTTGTGCCGACGCCTGGTACCTGCTGAGAACCTGCACCTTTAAGCCTGAAGTACGCGATGAGCGTCTACAAGAGACTCCCCACGCCATGCACACAGACACTTTGCAGTTTGTTTTTACTGTTTTCTCAGGTCAGCTTCTTGCTCCTGATTTTGACAAGTACACCAGGATGTGGTGGGAAGAAAATGACTTTCTTGAAACTTTTTTTTGGCTGAAAGAAACCATTTCACTTGAATGACTATGGCTTCAGGAGGCCCCATTTACAACACGTGAACCACACTGTACAACTGAACGTTAGAGTAAAATGTCATTAATTCTAAATTCAGAAATTTGGGAGAAGAACTACAGTTACATAAAACAATTTATATTACAATTACAACTTGAGCCTTATTTTTTTTTCACTCATGTCCTGTAAAACCTTAACAGCAACATTTACTAGTCAAGTTTGAGTTAGCAGCCCTTCTTAAGAGCAACACAACTGGAATTCTTTAGAAAACCACTGTTCACTTTCCTACTACAGGCCAACCTTTCCACAGTTCCTCCGAGGGAGGGACTTGCTTTCTGTCCAGCACAGACTCAGCTCCCCTGCACGTAGTTCAAGTTAAATTTTTCTAATAAGATACAGTGGCGTGGCCACTACAGGAGACCTGTATTAGTATCTCATTATTGCTATAACAAATGACCACAAACACTACAAATTCATTATCTCACAGTTCTGTGGATCGAAGCCTGACATCGGTCTCGTGGGGCTAAATTTAAGGTGTTGGCAGGGCTTCTGGAGGCTCTGGGGGAGAATCCATTTCCTTGCCTTCTAGGGGCTCTCCACAGACCTTGGCTTGTGGCCCCCTCCTCCATTTTCAAAGCTAGTAACAGTGGGTCGAGTCCTGCCCACATCACATCACTTCAACCGCCTCTTCTGCTTCCCTCTTCTACTTAAGAACCCTTGTGGCTACATTGGGCCCATTCAGATAATCCAAGTAATCTCCCTATTTTAAGGTCAGCTGCTACCTTAATTCCCCTTGGCCGCGTAACCTAACATATTTACAGGTTCCAGAAGTAGGATGTAGACATCTTTGGTGGGGGGGCATTATTCCACCTATCACAGACCCCAGCACATCTGCAATCCTAAACAATTTCAGCTTCGATCCAAAGTTCAGTTTCTATTCCATCGTGACTTGGTTGAGGTTTAAACTAGGTAAAGATTTTGTGAGATCTGCTGAAATGTGTTGCAAAGAAACAATGGCATCATCAGGGTCATACTCTACTGACATAGTTATTTTACGTAGAATATGTAGTGAATCTCAAATGCAGATAACTGGAAAGAAAACACTGGTAGATTATTTATTTTCACCAAGTCCAAGCTGTAAAAACCAGGATGACACACAACCTGGAAAAATGGTGTGGGGGTGGTGTCTGACCTCCTCTAACTTCGCCAAGGGAAAGGAGAATCACGATCAACAGCTCAAGACTGATCCCTATTAGGCAGGGGTCAGACACGCCTTCTCTCTCCATCATCTTTACCAATTCTGACACCAGCTGTCCCTCCCACAGCACTCTCTACTCTGCTGCGTTCAATAATTCATTGCAATGGCCACACAGAACTCACAGACCATACTCACCATTATGGGGTTTATTAGGGAAGTCATAGGTTACAATTCACGCTCAGAAATACTCAAGGATACAGTTTTTCCATCAGGACAGCCTCTTCCCAGACGTGCTCACAGGCACGCCTCTCCCTGGCTCCCAGCCTCTGCCCAAAGGCTCTCAGCTTTCTCTCTCCGCGGGCTGGGAAGCCGACCAAAACCGACTCCTGCTGCCAGGTTTCTGCTGCCAGGTCTCTGCCGCTGCTTCTCACCAAATTCAAGGTTACAGCTCGTTCTCTGTCTCCTGGGTCCAAGAGCTTCTCAGTGCAGGGATCCCGGGTCCAAAGGACATGCTGGCTCCAGACTGTTCTTCCTTGGTGGTA